TTGATAATAAATCACATCATTAGGAATTTGCTTACTCAGTGTTTTGAGGAATAGTGAACTAACATTTGTCTCTTATGCTGTGCTCGGAGTATTCTTTATGGATTTATTTTCTTGCACATTTGCATCACACAGGCTCTCTAAATGCGACATAGATTTGCAAATATTACATTTAACCCACTTCGCCTTACAAAATGGTTTTTTTGTGACCTTTTTTTAAACAGCACTTGCACTTAAATTGATCATATAAAGCTTTGTGTTTCTCTGAAATACTTAAGTCGCAGTCTTTCAAGAGGTGAGATTTAAGACAAAAGTCGCACATGTAATTTTTAACTGACATATTAAGAGTTAGTGCTGATACCATTTTCATTTTAATTAGAGCAGCACTCTTATGATAGTTGTCAGTATTTCTTTTGCTTGATTTCGAAAGTGTTTGTTGATTAAAACCCAGAGTTAATGACTTTTCACGCACTTCTACTTCTCTCTTTAGAAACAACAATAAATCTGACACTGTTGACTCTGTTCTGACCTTTTGCTCCCTACTAAACTGTAGCACTAAATCTTGTGTTCATATGTGCGCTAACTAATATTTCTTTTTTCCCAAATCTCGGCCGAGCCCCCACGTGGGATGAGGTTAGGATTGAAACAGAGGAAGGCAGTGACATTTTAAAGGTATTTAATAATGAAAGAATAAACATGATTATGGTGTGTACACAGCGAAAGGAAGTAAGATAAAAAGTTCTATTCATCATGAAACGGAATCACATCGTCGAACAGCATAGTTCAGTTACATCCATCGCCACGTCATAACCTCATCCGAATGGAAGTCTGTCCATTTCCTCACGCAGCTTGAAGAAGTATCTCGCTACTGTAGCTGTTGCCAGATTTAGGAAACGGCGGTGTTGTAGGAGCGAATGTCCACATACATTTATACAAAATAGGAAGTAATAAATTGCTATAAGAATTAAAATTAATATCTAATGTCTCTAAACTTCTTGTTTGAGCCGTTATTTCATCATATAATATTCTTAAACTGGATACATCACTTGAACGATGTACTGGCTCCAAAGCTAGGAGAACATCCGTATGTGCGCTACTAATATTTCTTTTTTCCCAAATCTGTCAGTTAGTAAATTTTGATGGCCTTTTTATAGTTTTCTCCTATTAATGGCAATCCGCTTATAGCTTTTGCAGCTGAACCGGTGAGTAAAGATCTTAAATAGTTAAATTTCTCAACCTCTTGAAGCATATTGTTTTCGTGAATGGCAGCTTTAAACCTGAGCCCAAAATTCAGTAAATTTACATAAATTGCCGCTGAAAGTTTCTAAAGGTAATATGAGGTAATTTAGCATTATAATTAGTTTTGATTTCTGAAACTTGTGAAGTTGTTATGGTTTTATTCACATTTTGAATATATCTATTGACTTTTGATTTACATCTAATGATGGATTCGCTGTATTCTAAACAATGTTCTACTTCTGCTTCTAATTCCTGGACAGTGCTTTGAGCATTAATAACTTCATCCTATTTTAACAAGCTAGTTTCTCTTTCGATTAACACTGAAAGCCATTCCTGCAACAGATCTAGGTTCAGATTATTGTTTTGCAATTCCTCTTCCAATTTCCTTATTAATTTTGTTACACTTGTATGAAACTTTCTAATTTTTCTATTTCTCTCGATAGTTTCTTCAAAACTCATTTTGATATCCAAAGGTAAATTGCATGCAGATAAAAATGAAATGACTCACCTTTCGGCCTGATGCTACTAAAAATTCCTGTATGTGATAACTTACTCCATTATCGGTGGTTCTTGTATTATTTTGGCCCAAATAAAGACACTTTCCTTTTACTAAATCTGTTTAATGAAGAGAAGGCTTAAGTATTATATACAGATTAATACAGACAAGTATTATATACAGATTACAGGATATCTAGTTTATATCACTCTCATCAAACTCTCAATTCTCTTTGGTGAAAAGTCTTAATTAGCTAAACATACGGGTGGCGCAGCGCCCTCTATCTCTTTTTCTACACACATCAAATCACTGATAATGATGAATCTAGTATTGTGAGATCCATTCTGATGATTATTTTATCCTTGTATTTTGTTTTGTCTTCTTAGTTCGACCTCTGCTTTCGTGACGCTATACTTTGCCATGTTTCAGCTATTCTTGTCAACATGATCGAATTGTGGTATTGCTGTAACCCAGATGTGGGTTGGCAGCAGTGATCACACTATGTCTTTTTGGCCATTTATATACGGCTTCTGTAAACTGGTAACATGCTCATATGGTTCATGAACCCATTTTTGAAGCTTTGGGGCAGTTGAAGTAAGTAGATAGAATCAAATTGGAACTGAAGTTCTGCTTTAAATTTGATATGTCTCCTCTTTGATAAATCATCTCGATGCTCAGTTGTGATGCTTGTACTATGATTCTAAACTAATGAGTGGACTGTATAGCAAAAGAACTAACTAATTTATTGACAAATAATTAACTAAATTCAGCTCTAATACATGCTCTGGCATATTGCTTAGCTGAATCCAGATGGCCAAGTGAGAGTTTCTCTCCCTATCCAATAGGTGGCGTTGTATTCTAACTTAACATGCCGCCGCCCATTGAAATTACAAATTTCAAGATGTAAATTACAAACAAACATACAATTTAACATTCCAAGAATAACTAATTCTACAATACAATATGAAAGTAGATAATATTTCATCATGAATATAATATAAATTAATATAATTATTCAAGAACATTAACATTCAATATGCTACAATCGAACTTATTCTTTAAAACAGTTCCATTTTAATGTAAAGCACACAGCTGTTTATTCCTTGGCTATCAAAAATTAATCATTGCGTATTAGATCAAAAGCATTCTGATACAAAATTTCTTTTCAAGTGGATAACTCCATGGTGCATCTTTTACAATCAGATAACTTCTCCTTGGTCTTTTTTGTCTAAGAGTGTAAATAATAGCTTTTCCATATTGTGAAATTTTTGCTGTTTGTATATTGCATTAATATTGCTCGAACAAAATATTGTGTTTAGTATTTAATATTGTTGCGTTTTTCTTTTCTTGTGACACCAGTTGTTGTGTTATTTTCTTCCTTCACGTTCCTACGGGGTTCGTGTGTATTTAGAGTGAATAACGACGACACTTGATGAAGTATTGAAACACACTTTATTGCCTAGTATTGTCAGGACAGCTCCAAAACACGTTTACAATTGTCGAAGATCTACTACTTGCTAGAACAATCAGCGACACAGCCTTCAGGTTATCAGGCTATCAAGGCAGAGACAGCTTCACTGCAAAGCACTAGAATACAGCTCCTGACTCTTCTTGGTTGTTTCGGAACTCCACGTATGCTCGAGACTCTCCACGCTGCAACTCGCGATGTACTCGACAACACACAGAGCACGGCTCCTGACTTTTTGGTTCAGTCGTTCCTGGAGCACAACATGTTCTCTCGACGATGCACTAACCGCGATACATTACGAGACTCTTTTGGTGCACTCGATGACCTACTCCGCACTAGCCGGCCAGCTGTCAACTCTATCCTCTCCGCACGGACTAACTAGATGAGACACACTCTTTCACACTCTAGACAAGGCACACACTGACTCGCCCTCTTGACGAGGCACACTCTCAATGACTGACTGCGAACCAGGCAGGGTTTATATAGCTTTCGGCTTGTATTCGAGAACATTCTGGGCTAAGCCGGTAAGAATTCATTTCAGAAGGCTTTCCATCCGTCCATGGCATACTGCCAATTGTGTTGCCAAGTGTCGCCAAATGAGTGATTTCTCGCCAAAATGTGGCAACCCTGCCTTCCCTTGCCATGTTATGGCAACCATAAACCTGCATTGCGGAGAAGCCATCTTACCGCGCCTGGACGTTTCGTAACACTATAATAGGAAGCAACTGATATAAACATATATGATGAATTTAAAAATCTGAAAATATCTGTTAACAGCAGAAATAGTTTTTGATATATTTAGTTGATTTTTTTAATACCTTACGAGTCATATTTTTAATATATAGTACAATAAATAGAGATTCAATAGGGTTACATATTTTTAAAGCTAGTTTATTAAAATAAATACTTATCTATAGGCTATGATTATTTTTTGCATTTTAAAAATATTTTTTAATTGCTTTAATAAATTAAAAAAAATGTCTTTCATGCTTTCAATGCATACTTTAGAATACTTTTTTTTTTTTGCATGTACATATTTATCATATAATACCTCCTTAATAGCGGATAGGTGTTATTACTGATGGTGCCATTATTATCGATTTTTCGATCGAAATTTAATGCATCTGCATTAAAGCTGGAGGTATGTTTGTTTTACTTCTCACTAGGAAACAGTTTTTCTATGTTTGTTGTTTTTTGTAATGTGTTTAGGTAGACATTGAAACGTTTTGAATATGAATATAATCGGTATTGGTAAATGAGTATGGTACTTATAACTTTTTTACTTTTAAGGTACTTTTTTAACGTCAAAAGTCTTTTCTTATTGAAAAATATATTTTTTTAATTACTTGTTTTTTTTTATTAGTTATTTTTAAATGTATTAATCAAATTTGCGTTTCTGGCTTGCTTTATTTCAGGTATTTAAGACTATGTTTATGTTTTGATTAATATTGCTTGATTACTAAAATGTTTATATGTGGTAATCAATTTTATTTTTAGGTACTTTATGTTTTTTGTACCTTCACAATATTACTTAACATTTATATAGACTTGCTACTGCAAGCTAAACTTGATTGCTTAACAGTCTTGCTAAGTGAAACTTGATTGAGGCAATGTATTAAACTTGTAATTTTGGAATGTTTTAACCTTTCAACGGATGGGTCATTTTTGTCCATTGGCTACAATGTACACTTTGTTCGACAGTATACTTTTTTCTTAATGGTAATGAACTTTCTTAGATATCACTAACGTTTATTCTCTTTTTTAGACCTTATATAATTTTCCAAATTTAAATTTATTAATATATCTACTGAACTCTGGGATCAATTTCTGTCTGTCTTATCATCACTTACTCGGTGGGAAGAATTAATAAAAGAATGGGCTGTAAGTAAACAATATATTATCTTTCTTAATTTTAGTTATCTTTGAAACATGGTATGTAATAGTTTAACTACAGCTGCTTACTGATTTACAGAAAATCCTGTGTATTTAGATTTTGGTGTATTTTCTTCAAATGATTCCAAAATATAAGTTTTTAACACATTTATTACTGTGTAGGAAATTCGAAGTTTGTTTTGAGTTTATTAAAGAATTTGTTTCAATGCCAAGAAATGCTAAAAGTATATGCAAGAAGTGATCAAAAGTATTCAGACTTTCAATAGAGAGATATGAATTCCAATGCTGACATCACGGTATAAACTCAAACAGATATGAAAGATGACATGAGTTTACAACAGTTATTGCAAAATGAAAGATGTGAAATGTGAGAAAAACGTGAACATAATGACTCTGGATCTAGTGAAATGATATAGGGTGTTACCATTGTGAAAAATCTGTTGACAAAATTTCTGTAATGTTCCTCATTTGACTTCAAGCAATATCTTGATGAATTGGAAACATGCAAGAACTGCTCTAACAACCCCTAACCAGTCGTACATTCTGTCAGACTAGAGATCAAAGAGTGCTGGGCTGAGCATAGTTGTGAAACACAGGGTTCGTACAATCCTTAAAGGTCCATAGGTTTTAAAGAAATGATATTTTGCCTTTAATTTCAATGAAAATTTGCAGACATTCCCTAATTTTTCTCATTTGACATTTCTGTCTCTTTTCTGTGCCAGCCATTCAGTGTGGGAGTGAACATTTTGAATTAATATAGAATTCAAATCATGCAGCATGTAATGAAGCCATCACAGATTGATGTTGTAAGCAATGAGATACAGTTGGCCACCTTGGAATGAAAGCTTCAAAATATCTGATTTCTTTTTGTGGCAGTCCTTCATAATAGATGTTTTTAACAAAGTATCATCTTATTTGTAATGAAAAAAAAAATTTTTTTTTCTTAATTTCAACATTAACTGCATGGCTGTGCTTCGACCTACTGTGACAAAACTGCGACCATTAAGAATGTTTAAGTTCAAACTTCATGAAGCTCAAGTTTTCTCTCACTGTTATCTGGGAATTTTTCACGGGTAAGGACTAAACACATGAATACAGCATTCAGAAAAGTTGAGGATATTAACTGCTAGATCAATTAAAATAATCTAAATCTGGATAGAATCACATTTTTTTATAGAAAATTCATCTACTAGAAACAGTGAAAATGTCTAAAAAATGTTTCATAGGGTTTGGCCTTAGGATACTGTATTTATGATGGTTCTGCATTGCATAAAGTCGACCAACAAAACACCATGCCTATTCCAAAATACGGACGTCATTATCTTGCACTGGGACAGAATCTGTTTGGCCTGGATCCTTACAGGAGAGTGTGTATGTGTCTCTCCACTCCATGTTCTGTTGTTTCCACTCAGGTGTGACATGTGAAACCCATGTTTTGTCTCCCATTACAATCTGACTCGACATGGCGTCACTTTTTTCATTATAATGAATAAAAACATTCAGCAAGCACTCAGATCTTTTTTTTTTTTTTTTTTTTTTTTTTTTTTTTTTTTTTGTGTGGACCTCAGGAGTTTAATGACCCAATGGGAGCACAGTTTCTTAAACATTAATTTTTCAGAAACAATCTTGTACAGTTCTCACCTAGACACTTCAGGAAATTCATTTGAGAGCTGGAATAGTTCAGGGAGAGTGCTTATGAAGTGTCTGTTCTCAAGAATTTTCGCTTAAACTGAAGCCACCATATTGTCTGTGATCATAGTTGGGCAACCGGAGCGAGACTTATGATGGATGTTGTCGTGGATAGGTTCGAAGCTTGATCCATTTACACACTTTGCCAACACTCATGGCAGTAGCTTCTTAAACTTTACAAATCTGAATGTGTGTAGCAGACAGGTTAGGGGTTGACAGGTATATGCTTCTTGCCAATAAAAAACGTATCACTGACCGTACCTCACACAGGGTGGGCGATTCGATAATCTTGCACATTTTAAAGACACAGAACAGACCGTACCATACAGGTTACCTACACAGCTGTAACTGTGCACAGTTGTTTCCAAGAAATGCCGGAACAGGATGCAAGCACTCATTGTGGTGCGTACACCACCTATTAGTGTATAGAATAAAACATTTCTTATTTAAAAAACACGTTACATAGTCAAAAGAGAGAGAGAAAAAAAAAGGCCCGTGACAAAATGAAAAATATGTTACTGGTGTTAATACACAGTAAAGTGTTTTGCAATAAGGTTATGATGTGTTTCTGATATTTATTCGAGAATTATCAGGAAAGGCAGTAAAAACTAAGTTATCTGAATTTATTATATTGCAACCTTCATTTTGTAAATGGCACCAAGAATTCACATACTAATGAATTGTGACAAAGCAGCCAATCTACTCAGAGCTGTTCTCATGGACTCAAAATGACTGCAGTTAGTACTACTGATCAGTTGGCCATGGTTTGCAGAGACCTGCGAGTAGGGTTTCTGCTTTAGTATATTTTACTAATAAGAAGGCTTATGGTGCCATTTTAATAACGGGCTATAGTAATAAGGAAATATGCTTTCTTCTGTTGATAATAAATGTTTTTCTCTTGTAGAGTTTAATTTCCTTTACTTTCTGATTTATTTTTATAATTTTTCCCTATTCAAAAATATGGAAAATTTATTTTATTCTTCTCATATGGGCTTCATTCTTCTCATAGCTGTAGAAAAGAATTTCTTTCTTAGCAAAGATATGGAAAAACAATAATTTTAAAGACTTATTTTATATATCTGAATGTAGAGTATATCTTTTCCTAATGTTTTCTAGAGTTCCTTAAACATTGAAATTGCTAAATAAGATTAGCAACTTCTTCTGTGCATTATAGATACATGTCATTTTCTATAACAACAAAATTCAAATTTAAAAATTCAAAATGAAAAGAAAAATTAGTGAGGAAAAAGTTGATTACATAAAACAAAAAGAATTTTTTTCCTTCAATTCTATATTGATGAAGACACAAATTTTAGCACATAGTTTGGTAGATGGTTCAGAAACTGGTCAAAACAATTATTCATTTATTACAGCAAATGAATTAAAGAAAGTAGATGTTCTGGTGTGATTGCTGAAACTCATGAGAGTGAGTTCAGAAAATAAAAATATAACCATAATAAAAGAGTGAATCGAAATTGGTTTGTAGTAAAAGAACAAAGGAACCTGGCTATATGGAGGTACTGGGAGGGGTCTGACTGATTTTTTTCCCCAAGGTAGTTGAGGAAAATATAATTAAAATTCATCTCAAAGTTATTTAGAGAAACATGATGCAGAGTTCAATAATTGTATTAGATTGCTAGAAGGCATATAATTATCTTCAAGGTGAAGGTTTTGTACGCCAGTCAGTCAGTCATAGCATGATATTTAAGAACCTGGTTACAAAGGTTCGCTCAAATTTGATTACAGGTTTATGGAACTATATTAAAAGATCTCAGGATAGAAATGACTACCCGTGATTTAATTTCTTTTGAGATTGATGTCTCAGAGAAATGTATCATGGATAAGATGAGATTTTGCAGAGGGGTATGTGCAGAAATATGTGTAGGAAAGTATTATAGTTGGAGGCTCTGGTGAGTGTATAAAAGTAGTGCAACTCGATGTTCTGGGTGATTGCCGAAGTTGATGAAAGCAAATTCATAAATTAAAAGTATAACCACAGCAAAAGAGAGAAGCAAATCTTGCTAAATGGAAGCATTGAAAAGGGTCAGATGGCTGGAAGGCATGTACTTGTCTTCAAGATGAAGGTTTTAATCACCTCTTGGTCAGTTATAGTATGACATTTATGAGCTGTGTTTTCAGGGCTCACTCAGAGTAGATTAAGACTTTGAGCTTCAGTAAGTCTGTGGATGGAACTGAACTATCGTGATGTCATTTCTTTTGAGATTGAAATCTCAGAGTACTGTGTCATTGATAGGATGAAGTTTTGGAGAGAGATATGGGTACAAAAGAAGTATGGTTGGTGGTTCTGATCTAAATTTTTAGATTGATTAGAGCAAGTCCAGAAAGCAACTATGTGGGAACCTGGCCATGTGGGGGCATTGAAAGGATGTTTGACTGTTTTTTCCAAGCTTGTTGAGGAAGGAATGAAGAAAAGTCTTCTCAACCTTAAGAGAAACATAAAGCAGAGTTTTTTAAATTATTTAATATGGTTGCAAGGTATGTAATTGTCTTCAGAATCAAGGTTTTATACTCCTCATTAGTCGGTGATAGTATGACATTTAAGAACCGTCTCTCACTTAAATTTGGTTAAAGGTTTTTGGAGCTCCATTACAAGATCTTTGAATGGAATTGACCTCACATGTCATTTCTTTTGAGATTGAAATTTTAGGGTAATGTATCATTGTTGAAGTTTTGGAGATAAGTGTGTATGTGAAAGTTATATGTTTGGATGTTCTGGTCTGATTGTTGAAATTGATGGAAGCAAGAATGGAACCTGTCTATGTGGAAACATTGAAAGGGTGTCTAAATGTCCCCCCCAAGCTCATTGAACAAAGAATAAAGATAACTCTTCTCAAGGTTATTGGGAGAAATATAAAGCAGAGTTCTGTAAGTGTCACAAGTGGGTGGAAGGCATTTAATTGTCTTCAAGATGGAGCTGTTATGCATCTTTCAGTCAATTTAGTATGACATTTAAGAGCTCTCTTTCTAGGGCTCGTCCAAACTCAAGTAAATATATATGGAGTGATTATTGAAACTGATGAAAACAAGTTCAAACAAGCAAAAATACAACCATAGTAAAAGAGTGAAGGAAAATTGACTATGCGTAGACATTCAAAGGAGTCTGACTTTTATTGTTTTGTTAGTTTTGTTGAGGAATGAATGAAAGAAATGCTTCTTGAGAATATTAAGAGAAACATAAAACAGGGTTCTATATTTGTCTCGGATGGTTTGAAGGCGTGTAATGGTCTTCAAGATGAAGTTTTGATGTACTTAAGTCAACCATGGTATGATATTTAATG